TGCTAAAAAAAATTAGTTGAACTTCAGAAAATTTGTCTTTTCATAAGTACCTAACATTAGAAAATGAAATAAAAGATTTTTTATATAGCCATGAGATATTTTTGATTTTATTGATTCTTTTTACAATTATGGTTGACAAAACGTCTTTTGCTCAAATACGATTTTTGTATGCAATTATTAATAATTGAACTCAAATATTATGTCCATCCATTTACAACTACATTCTTGACGACTATTGTACATGCAAAGTGGTACACGCTTTTATACCTTTTTATTGTTAAAATTTGCTCGAAAAATAAATTATAAATTAAATTACTTTTATTCCAGTAAATGTATTAGTTGGCGATTCGTAGTACACATTATAACGTCAAATTTATAATTATATTTTTTCATTGACGTGAATGTTATTAATAGAAAGTTCAAATTAAAAACTTAATCCTATTATCCAAATTAATGAACTAAGTAAATATTATAAATATGGTGACGGACAGGCGGAAATATAATATTCTCGACTACTCTGCGTTAAAAACAATTTAGAATTTATCACGATTCAATCGTTTCTTGTGTTTAACTCATAGTTACTCAGCAGGTGTCAAGGTCAACTACAACTAAAAAAATATGTTAACATTAATAAGTTTTCCGTTATAATTATCAGTTATTATCTCATGATTAATGGTATGTATATATACAGAGTGTCCCGCAAGGATTTACCCATTGCGATATTTCACGAAATAATGGAGATATAAAAATTCCGGTTTTATAATAAAATTCATAGAGGATAAGAACTACAATTATTTCACAATGATGTGTGTTTTTTTGTGTCTGTCATCACGTTTTGGGCAATAAAAGTACTTCGATTTTCGACTTCAGTCCCTCATTTGATCAGAAAGTGAATCTAGGTTGGTATTTTGGGGMGTTAAAAGTAAAAATTCCCAATATCTTTCTTAATAGTTGGGATAAACAAACTAAAAATTAAGGAAAAAACGGGAATTTTTACGAACAATCAGTTTTCGACAAAATCGTTTTTGGTTTTTGATGTAACTTTAAAACAAATTACCATAGATACATGAAATTTTCACCAAATCTTTATATAAGTATATTCTATCTACCGTGCAATTTTTTTTTAGACTTAAGTTGAACTATTTATAGGCATATGCAATTTTCGATCATTATTAGTTTTTTTTAAATTAATATCGATAAAAATATATTTGTTGGGTAGAAAAGCTTGAAAATTCAATACAAGGGTCTTAACATATTGTTACAATAGCAGTTGAAAAATAAAACAAATTCATAGTCACAAATTTTTTTTATAAGCATTCAAAGGTTGTATTTTGACAAAATACGTAAAAATCACGAAAATTTGCAAATTATTTTAAGGTAGAAATTCATAAAAATTTTCTTTCAAATCTTAGATTTGATTAATAATCTATAAAATATATCCTAGACAGATAAACCGTCTCCGCTCAGAATCGTTTTTCGTATACGATGATATAATATCATTGGATTCAAATTTAATTCCATCCATTACAGTAACCCACTTGTAACCTACTGTACAGCAGAGCTACATCCACGACTTACCCATTTTTTTTTATTTAATAATTTCCAAAAAAAATTAAACATAGGTATTTTGTAGATTTTATTTTCATACATTTCCTGATTTTTAATATTTTTTTCTTGTTTTTAAAAAAAAATGAAATATGATTATAACTATTAGGAACACAGAAAGTATTCGGCCGGCCGTTTGAGAATGCGTATGGTGTGGCGGGTCACATGTTTGATAACATTATGGTGTTAAATAATTCACCATTTTTCTCAAAACTAAAAAAATTAAAAATCAGGAAATTAATGAAAATAAAATGTTGAAACTTCAATATTTTTAGAAAAATAAATTCTACAAAATTGCTAAGTCAATTTTTTTGGAAATAATTAAATAAAAAAATATATTTTTTTWAATTTTTTGGGAAAACATTAAAATATGAGATAATTGTAGTTCTTATCCCTGTGAGTCTTATTACAAAACCAGAATTTCAATATCACCTTTATTTTGGGTGATATCGCAATGGGTAAATCCTCACGGGACACCCTGTGTATAATGTATATTATAACTTATAAGTGTATACCTACTGCTACAGAGTGCAGATATTATTGTTTAAAATATTATAATCGATGACAATACATTACAATATCACAATTTTTATTTWTAWTTTGTATTGTTATAAAGCATCAGCRTCTATGGCCATGAGYATTTTGTGAGGGGTTACGGTTAATTCAGTAGTACGCGAGTATATATTATGTGGAGTGATGCAGATTTGTCGTTAAAAACCCGGATGATCACCCATCCGAGAGCTAGAGACGCCGGCCAATGCTTGACCGCCGCACTGCACATTAGCGACTGCGGCCAACCAACGCCATACCAAAYCCATACAGTTTATTATTGTTGTAGGTATAGGTTTTTAATCAGGTAAAACAATTTATATTAATATATTTTATATTTACACGTGTAGGTATATGACTATTGCAGACTAACCGATGGAAATTCCTGACTGTAAATTGTGTCTTAGCACAATGCCACAATGTATATATCGAGGTACCTACATATTATTTGTATGTATAATTTATTCTCGTATTATTGCCTAGGGCGTCTATTAACCTTGCTAATATAATGTGATGCCTTACGTCAAGACAGACAACTATTTAAATTAGTTCCATCAAACGAAAATCAAATTATGTTTAAAGATGCTTAATCATTCTTAGAGTACTTGTATGAGTATACATGATTAATAGTAGAAATAATCATAACCTAAATATTAGAATATAATGATTTTTTTTATTATTTATTTACTGATCACCGCCGCCTCAGCAACATATCGGTCATTGGCTCGGATTGATCGGTGAAGTGTTTGCAAATGTATAATTCTCCGTCTTGCAAAATCATAGCAAATACCTATTTCAAATCAACTTTCAGCAGAATCCATTAATGGTTTGTTGGTTATAATATTATTTGATTGAAATGACCAAGGCCGTAACTGTGAGGCGTCCAGGGGTCTCAACCATATAGGTATCAACATCCGTTAAGACAGAAAAAACAAATTAAATGGTAAAATCCGGTCAACTGTATTCAAAGAAAATGTCTTTATGAATCAATTCTGAAGATAATTTTTTCTAGAACAGTATTTACCTATTATTATTTGTTATCATCGGTTTCCTTGAAATTAATTTTGTTGTGTTGATATTATAATTATTATTTGAACGAAGAATTTTTTATATCCATATTAAATTACATRGATTTTAGAAGGTCAACCGATAGAAATTAAGTAAAACAATGGATATTTTAGAGCGTATTGCTAACGATGGAAAACGACGGAAACTGTTCGGAACAAAATAATACAAATACTTAAATTAATTTACTAGGTCGTATTAATTATCTACGATGATGTGGTTGAAAAACTTAACAATTAAAACATTTAAATTTAAAACGTGTTAGATTAACATATCATGCGAAAACCTTGAATCCTGTAATTTTCGTAACTAAATTGTTGATAAAATAAAATTATGGCAAAATTAATATGAGATTTAAAATTGGAATATTAGGTACCTATGTAAATTAGGTACTACATTAGTAAATATCATTTTTTGTTTTTTTTACTGATTTTATGTTTTCTTTTCATTAGTGATAATGTAARCATATAAAAACATATTATATTATCTRACAGTAAAATCGTATTTACATTTAWAATAGATAGAATTATAGGTACTGGTTCATAGAAGTTATAAATCTTTAATATATTAAGGAAAATATTTTATTTAAATAATAATTARCAAAAAWTATAATCAACGAGAGGTAAGAGGTAACAACAAAAATTCGAACATACATTAACATTACTAAAATATTTACTATCACTACTCAATATAATATATTTTATTTTCTTGGTTAATAGTCAGTACTACCAACCATCACTACAGAATCAACCAAGAGAAGAAGTAATAACAACAACAAAAAACACGATTTAGGTAATTCTTATATTACAAAGGTGTTAGGTGTTATATTTGTTAAACTCRAAATCTATGTAAATGGTATAAGGTAGGTATGCTAAAATAATAATTTAACCTTCAGAGAGAGAGACACACACATAGGTAAGTCAAAGGTGGAGATACTTATTATTGGTATAAAATATTATTCACGGGTACTTGTCATATTTTACACCCACAATTATGTTTATTMAGAAAAAATCAATTTAATCTACTGTAGTATCTGTACTAATTGTCTAATAATAAAATAAACTACTTAAATCACATGACAGACCGTTTTCGCTCTGAATCTTTAAATTTAAAACATCAATTACAGACTTACAGTACGAGTAGTACGACTGCTATTGACATCTATTAAGTAGGACGTAGGTTGTAGGTATAGTTATATTTCCCTCGAAAATATGTGTCCGTGATAAGGAACGTTATCACCTACAACAAAACGTGCTTGAAAAAAATAAGCCAAGTACSCACATTAAAAAAATTATTTAACAGGTATGTTATTATTTCATATATTATGAATGTTGTCAGGATAAAGAATACATTGAATTTTATCATGATTTTTTCTTGATTACTTAGTTGGCACTAAATTTGTTCAAAAAAACCAAAAGTACCATATTTTTCAATAACTTTGCACCAAACGTTTGATGGTGCAAAGTTTATTTTTTTTCATTATATTTAGTTGTAATTGATGTTTTTATAATTTTCCAGCATGCCAAACAAATATAAAAGGGCCGTAGGCTCTAGAAATTACAGGAATTATACAGATGAAGTATTAAATACATGTTTGAACGATATAGTACACAAACTACTCAAAGAGAGGCGGAAAAACTCTATAAAATAGGCAGCTATAATAACCTACTTATATTTATATATACCACGGTTATTATCAGTATTATTGCTACTATTCTAGTATTAAGGCGGGTTTCCGCTACAACATTATTACCCATGTGCCGCGTGCACCTTAAATGTTCAGCTATGTCCAACAACGCGGTAACGTAGTTAATCGTGCGGTAACCTTATTACCTAACCAACCAATCACAGCAAGGGATTCACGCGAACGTGTATAGTGGAAACCCACCTTTATTTTCCATCGTTTGCCGGTGTGCCGCTTAAAGAGTACCAAGGTCCAAGGTATATACTGTCCGGTCGAAGAACACGCGCAGACACTGCTCGAATTTGTCAGCAGCACATTGCGCGTCCGTTCCCCGCACCAAATATTTATTAATATTTATTTATACCATAACAGTTCGCAAAGCATAATAATTAATAATCATATAGAAACCTCGCATAATCTACATGTAACGTAATCGTATAGTGTCATTAATATTTTTTTAACGCTTTGTTGCTTCTGTCGACGTTTTTTTAACGTATAAGTGTGCATAAATGATACAACTTACCTACCTATACGCGGTCGAAACGAATAACTGTATTGCGGTGTTGATGGACCACATTGTGTGCAATTTTTAAATTTTTTACCATATTTATGCGTATTCCATATACAATTCCTATACGTACGCGGTAAGCTGTTAGTCGCCTTTACCCGATTTTCCGTTTCAGGCGTTTCACAGAATACGACGATTATCACACTTGTTATACTGATAATATAACACTAAATGATGGACGATCCTTGGTACAAATCGGTAAGTCATTCGCTCAACCAAAAATAATAGATTTAAATTTGTGGCAAGTAATAACTATAATAATGACCAGAGTTTTAAGTGTGAAAMCCAAGAAAATTATAATATACAATAGTATAATATATGTTTAATTGAGTTACTTATTTAGTATAACATTATTGTATACACTAACAATGTATTCAAGGACAATGCACGCATTTACTAAATTTGTTATTTAAATTATACTGAAATTCTAACAAATATAACTTCAAGTTCATGGAATATTGTCTATTTGTCTGCCTATGAAAGAATAAAGAAAATTGCTTAATATTTTTTTTTCAATTTAATTTAATTAACACTAGTGCGATGAAATTAAGTTTATCAGAATTTGGAATTTGCGTATGATTAATCTTTTGTCAAGTTCAATATTAAATTTGGTTTGCACATCGCATGTTTTAACAGTACAAAAGATAGTACTCACGACTAAATAACCAGATAATACATCAATATAACATTGACACTTGTTACATCATTTAATATATATCAAATTCAAAAATTATTACATTTAATTAAATCATGTTATAGATTATAATAAATTATTTTATTACAATAGCGATGTACAAACATCCTACGCCCAAATTTGATGAACCAAAGATTCTTATAAATTATAATAAATAAAATTATGAGAAGGTACATACACATTTTTAATAATTRTAATTTAGGATAAAAATTATTTTTAATATTGATATTATCACTGTTTGTTTCGTAAGTAAAAAAAATACTTATATCATATTATCATGCGTATAATTGCCAAGTATCGTAAATAATCACACGCTATATAAAAGGAATAATTCTTAACAAATATAGAGTTCAATAAACTTTAGGAATATTCAAATGTAGRAATTATAGCAATAAAGATATAAAATGTACAGTAACAATGTATATAGGTAATAAACTAATGTAATCATATTTAAATTGGTTTTTACCACAATTTATTTATACTTAATTTTACAATTACTAAAATACATAATTACAATTAACATTACAACCAGGCTGTTTCTTAATATGATTGTCATGTTCTCGTTATTGAATCAACCATTTTGTGGTGTTGTTTTTTTTCATTATATTATAGGCGATTTAAATTAACCAAAAAAAAAATATATATTTTGTACAGTATAATTAATCGTAATTGTTATATTTTTATTCTTACTTTAGGAGGGAATCCGTGGCAAAATAGGCCATTGGGTGTGGGGGTGATATGGTGAGAGTATTTTTGTTTGAAGGTTTTTAAGTTGGTTGTGTAACATGTTTGTTTGTGTATGTGTGGCAAGGATATGTTGCTAAAATTCCCAGGTGGTCACCCATCCGGGAGCTAGCAACTGTGGCTGGAACGTACGCTCAATGCGTTTCTGCAGATATAGCGTACGAYCGCGCCTCACACAGCCACTGATTATTAATTATTATAATTGTAATAGTGTAATAAATACAAATTCTAACAGACAGTGAAAACTCATCATCATAAAATGAAGATTACTATTAATATAATATACAAGACGTCAAGACCTCACAACATTATTTCTATTTTTATTTGTATTCATATATACTAGCACTAATAATCTATGTCATTCATTTCAAAATTCATAAACCACAAATTGTGAAAAAAAAATAGTTGTAATAGCACAATATGTGCTGACATTTTTCATAATTACCTAGTTAAATTTAAAAAAAAAAATGTTACTAGGTGGTAGGTACAATAATAAATTACAAAAAATACAAGGCTAAATTTCAAACAACGATCCACACAGAATCCCCSCTCTTAAAACCACAATCTATTGTAGTATATTATTTAGTAAAAATATGTGATGATGTCGACGATTTATTATTCCGTTTCAATCGTTTTGCTTTAAAGTCAAATGGTCCAATAAAACATAAATATTATAGAATATGACATAACGTGTTAGATTTATCAGGTCTGATACCATTTTTATGTTATGTGATTAATAGACAGATTCGTTGACGTGGGCGTTGACGAGGAAAAAGACAGATTTGGATGAATCGAATAAAAAAAAACTCAATAGGGTATTGACCTTCTTCGACTTGACGGCATTGGGCACCGGCTGCACATTGGGAAGCGGTGTGTACATATTGGCCGGAACAGTGGCCAAATCGATCGCCGGCCCAGCCGTAGTCCTGTCTTTTGTCATTGCCGCCGTAGTATCTGCATTTTCTGGTAAGGAAGATTTTATGGAGGTTAATTATTTTTAAGCCGATGACGCTCAATTAAAAAATCCCTATATGTTGTATAACTTTACCGGTAAATTCGGCCGGAATTTAGGTAACCTAACCTAACCAGACCGGCCGGGTCGAATTGAATTTATCGAATTTATCGTGAATCTCGCTTTCAGTGTTCGGATTAGATAAGTATTTTTTTATCTAGATAAAGATAAAGATAATGCAACTCAAATGTATCTAGATAGAGATAAAAGATAACTTAACTTATATTTATCTATAGATAAAAATAAAGATAAATACTTTTTTATCTAGATAAAAAAAGATACAATTTTTTTTTAAATGGTTCAAAATAATCTGATCAAACAATATAGTTTTTATTTTATTATTCTATTTACTGTTGCCATACAGTCTACAGCATTATAGCTATACCTATATAGCTATATTATATTATAGTATAATGTAGCCTGACACAGATTAAATGTTTCATGTATTTTTTAATTATATTTATGTAAAAATTATTATTATTTATTAATGAAATAACAAATAAACCGCTCCATAATATCAATAAACCATTGATTCATTTATACCAGGTGAGGGCCCGGTGACGGATGAAGGATTATCGATAGCTTCTTTAATTCATTTTTTATTATTTTCAGAACTTGTAGCTAAAAATCGCTTCATTATGAATTAGTATATACGTTTAACACTAAACAAACAATTTTAACAGTAGCGTTTAGTAGTTCTTCTTCTTTCATAACGACAAATGTCAAAATATAAAAACGGTAACGTGATAAACTGTTGAGTGCAAACTAAGAATAAGTGACAACTGACAATTGACTAAAGATGAAGATGACAATCGAGAAGCGGAGCCGACAGTTGCACACTCGATCAAACTATAAATATATAATATATTATGATATTATCTTAGTCCGTCATTGTAACTACAATGTAATTACCAATTATATAAATACTCCGTGATAGTCGATAAACATTAGACAATCATAATCGATAGTCCACACTCTTCAGACCATAATAAACCAATATCTGCATTTTCTGTGTTTGTCTAAACACGCGTGGGACAACAATACACCTGACAAAAATTAAGGTACTTCTAGTTGTTCGATTTAAAATATGTAARGATGAGTTAATTGGTATACAAGTTTACTTTGCATCGGTCGAAGCACTTTTTCGATTGTAGCAATATTTTGATRAGAATAAATATTTTTAATTTTATAAATTTGTCAATTTTTTTTATTAAATATATTGAAAATATTAAAAATATGGTTCGACCGATGCAAAAATAAATTGTATACAAATAAATTCAAAAATCTTTACATATTTTAAATCGAGCAACTAGAATTACTTTAATTTTTATCAGGCGTATTGTATGTTCCACGTGTGTTAGACAAAGACAGAAAATCAACGTTTCCAATCCCCTTAACTGCAAATATCCACCCCCAGAATAGTACATTGTGGCCTGTGGGCTACGGGTTATGGCATGCGATAACGAGGAAATAACTAATAGATAATTAATAACACAATCGTTATTTCATTTTATTTGTACAAACTATTTAAAAATTTCATTATTTTTTAAACTATAAATTTGGTTTGAGTGATTTGCATCAATAAAAAATCTATCTAGATGAATTAATTTAGATTAGTAAAAAAAATATCTAAGATGACCGTTTAGATACCTTGTAACTAACTTGTTACTAACTATTTATCTAGATAACTGAATAAAAGACAAAAAAGTATCTAGATAAATTTATCTAGATATATCCGAACACTGCTCGCTTTTAGCTTATTATTGGGGGAGAATCTGTTTTCGACCAAAACCGTGCCCTTCACTTTTTGGATGATTCATTTTTCAACCAAATTTAAAATTGGTCGATTCCCTTTTCSACCAAAATCATACGACCCTCCCCTTTTCGGCCAATTCACTTTTCGACCACATTTAAAAGTTGTCTAATAATTTGAAATTGTTGCACCACTACCTATATTATATTTTCCTGCAACAAAAAAAAAAAAATGCCAGATCAGTTCATAAATTCTTAAATGATGCGATTAGGTTAGGTTAGGAAAACTTTTTAATAATATTTTATATAGATTCTCTTTTATTATTATCATTAATGATACCTACTACAGTAATAATTGACCTTAAACTTTATAATTTTTTTTTTTAATGCACACAATTTCACTAGCCAAAAGTTACTTATGGGCGGCTGCTTTAATTATTATACCTTTCATGTTATTCATTAATTTTACTATTTTAACTTATTGTGCTAATTTGTATAGATTGTGTAATATGTTAAATGAAAATATAATATCTAAGAAAAAACTTATAAAATAACCAGAGTTCACTGTTATGTGATACCAAAAAAATTTAATTAACGGCCAATATAATTTTAACATATAAATGTTTCTAGGACTGTGTTATGCTGAATTGGCTGGTAGAGTACCCAAAGCTGGATCAGCATACATTTACAGTTACGTGGCAGTTGGTGAGTTCACAGCGTTCATCATTGGTTGGAATCTAATCGTCGAATATCTCATTGGTAATTTCAATCGTCACTATTTAGTTTAGCTATGATACTTAGCACTCACTACGYACAACATACACACATTTTACATTCACAATAATCCATTTAAATCTGTTTTTAGTTGTGTAAACTACTAATTTTATATTAAAAATATGTTGAGGTGCAGAATAACTTAATTTAAAGGTAAAAAATTCCACTAGCTTAGATCCTCAAATTCAAATTCATGACCCAGTACAACGCTAAACTCGGTCACAAAATGGTTGTCTCAAATATTATTACCTACTTTTAATTGTATAGATGATCTATAATAGATCAATTTACTWTAGTTTGTTTTAAAAATAACTAAGTAACATGGATTATTGAAAATGGAAAATCATCTTTGTTGTACCTTATACGTATATAATAAGATGGTCGTGCAAACTGTCATTTATTTAAAACAAAATGTACCAATTTGCATAGGCGCAACTAGACCAATAATTTTGGGGGTGCACAAATAGTGAAGAGCTCACTGACCCGTGAGGGCAAGCCCCCACACCCCCACACCGTTCATCCCATTAGTTTTCATATTACATTTATAAAAACAAATAACTGCTAATGTAAAATATATAATATAACATACATACTTTGTTTTAATAGTGRTACGTAATACAATTTATAGGTTAACAAAATTAAATGATCAGGGGGGCTATTCAGAAATTCATACGATAAAGATCCGTATACGAAAATCGTGGTTTCCACATGATCCTAAAAAACCGTATTCTAAACACTTTTTCGTATACGGATACAATTATGTCATGTGAAAAATATTCACACGATTGATTCGGATGGGTTTCCGTATGCGGATTCATGTTATTTAACCGGTTCTAAGGTTGAGATTATGGTTTAAACATTGAATGACGAGACTTATAGTTATAATTTATGATTTATGTTTATTATAATATCATGATATCATCTAAATAATTTAATATATTTAAGTATAATATTCATTGCATCAAGAATTTTGAATTAAAAGTTAATTAGTAACATATGACGCGCGTAGAAACAAATTATATAGATAATATTTTATAAACTCATACTATTAATTAAAGCGCGGATTTGTAAACATTTGCACATTTATTTTGGTTGATCGTATGATATGCTAAGTGAGCATTACAATATTATTTCATGACATAATTATTCAAAAAAGACACTTTTTAGTGCTTATTTTTGTATATTTTGCGATTTTCTATTTTAAAATTTTAATTGTATATTTCATCTTTTAGTGCATATTTCGATGTTTTTTAAATTTTTTTTTTTTTAGAAATTTTTAAAATATAAACTACCTATTTTGTCTATTATAAAATAAGAAAAAATATTATATTTTTATAGTTTCGATTAATATCAAAGTAAATTAATAAGTATACTTGTAGGAATAAACGGGTTTCCCTTAGGACAATATTGCCTTAGGACTTAGATCAATAATCGGGTAAATAAAATACGTAAACTAAGATAAGAAAATATCGGTTATGACTCAGTCATAACTTATGAGTGTTACGACCATAATATTGAACATTGACTTTATTTTACTAATGTTCAAAAATTAATTTTTTTTTTTTTGCTAATCATTTTATGCATATTTTAACATTTTAGTGCATAAATTTATGCATAGGTATTTAAGATTTTTTAGCGCATATTTGGTTGTTTTATAATGCTTATAAAAATCCGCGCTCTATACTCATAAATCATAATCAAACGTTGATCTTGATTGTGTTGACCGTTTTTATCTACAAACAGTTTACTAGAACTACCTATTTTAACATGATTTTGCTTGAATGAAAATTATATTTATTTTAAATTTGTTCACTTWTCAAACTATTTGTTATATACCGCTCTATATTTAATATTGATGAATTGGTAAATCTTTKTTGTGGCGTACTTTGTACCCCTGAAAGAATAGAGTGACACAAATCAAAATATAAAATATATTATAATTATATAAATAATATATAAATAATAAATATATATGAGTATTCGAGTATTTATTCAAAATACTTTTCAAAAGTATTTTACACAAGACTGCATAGATGTGTTAAACTGTGTGGCTATGTCTACAGTTATAATATTGTAGACAATGTTTTTATTAGATGAATAAAATTGGTAGATATAATTATTTTTAATTTAATTTAAATWAAAATGTCATGATCTCCACGAATATATATTAACCATTATAATAAAATAAATATATGTATATATATATCCGCACATTTCACCATGTCCTCAAAATACTTCCAGTCAGGCCCTGATGGTTTATTAATTTGAAAAAGTAAACATTATTTTATCAAACATTTGAATTTTTAAAACGATTAGGTACTCCAAATAATTTAATATTTACTACTAGTTAATTAGTAAATGTTTACTTTTTTCCATTTAATAATAATAATGTTCACATTGCTTGTTTAATTGTGTATGTAGTTTATATAACACTGAAATAGATTTAAAATTTAAAAAAGGGTAGGTCAGAATTGCGGTGTAGGAAGTTTGTCCACTGTTAAAGGGTATTTTTTCATCATTTTTGGTATACTTTCATATGACGTTGGCCTGTCACTTCCCCCTGGAGGCCTGGAACACATTGTATTTATTTGTATATTATACAATATGCCTATATAGTATATCTAATATAGGTACATAACATAAAGGCACCTATCTATTTTTCTCAATATAGGTATCTACATTATGGTACATAATTGGTACAACATATTAAAGAAAAAGACTTATATATTTTTTGGGAGTGCACATTTTAAGCTTGGGGGTGCACAAGTCCCCTGTGCACTCCCCATGTTGCACCAATGCCAATTTGTTGTTATGACATTTTAAATGTTAATTTATTATTAGAAATTTAAATTTAAAATCTTAAAATATGACCAGATCTACTTCAAGTATATCAACAAATTCAAACCAGTTTTCAGAAGTTTCATCGCTTTAATATGCATCCACCGGAATGATTAAAAAAAGTACGTCATACACTATACAAATGAGCGAGCATACTATTATTATATAATTATTCGTTATATGTCATATTGTGCATGACGCCATGTGCAATATTATGTCTTGCAATTCATTGCGCACAGAAGTGTTCTRCTATTTCTTGTACACTACAATCACACACACTAACCATAATAATTTACTACATACATATTGAGCATATATATAGCAAAATATTACTGACAGTATAATATAATTATTTCTCTTGGAGGTTTGAATATTGCGATTTTCGGGCGTTTTAAGTTGCATTACTAACGCAATATTATTATATCGGTGTTATCCGTGTTGCAGCCATGCTCGTTACTTATACTCAATTTGTATTGGTCATTTGCAGGAACCGCGGGCACGGCTAAGGCCATGAGTAATTACTGTGATTCTTTGCTGGGCAATCCGCAGAAAAGATACATGACCAAATATTTTCCCATACACATCAGCTTCTTAGGCGATTATCCTGACTTAACATCATTCTTTGTGATTGTCATCATAGCACGTAAGATTTAATATATTTTTATAATATACGTATCGGTAAGTGTTTATATAATTACAATGATATAACTGTATGTACCTATAATATTTTGATTTTTGACAGTGTTCAATATTACGCAAAAAATTTAATTTTTACATATTTAAAATCTTAAAGTTAGGATTATTCATTTTATTATATTATATATTAATTATATATATATATATATATATATATATATATAACCTATGCAGATTAAATTAATATATTTGAATCAAAAAACAGAACGATTAACGGATATTAACATATTAAAGATCATTTTAAATTACCTAGACTCTAAATTTTATTGCTGAATGAATTAATGACACAATTTTCTGTAGGTAATTAAAAACATTAACATAAATTTGAATATTTCCGTCAATAACTAGCTGATTAGATTGTCTTACGCTATTTTCATAGTATTGGTAGCTTGGGGTGTTCGTGAATCGTCGATTACCAACAACATATTTACTGCATTAAATCTTATTACCGTTTGCACCGTGATTGTCACTGGGTGTTACAAAGGTGAGAGTCGTAATAAAAATTCTGATCCAATCATAGAACRTTTATATTTTATACCAACAATAATAACTATGATGAAACGTAAAATTTTAGCTAATATATCAAACTGGTCTATTCCAAAAAGCGAAATACCACCTGAAGTAAAAGGCGGCGAAGGCGGATTTTTACCATTCGGATGGGTCGGTGTTGCAACGGGAGCTGCGAAATGTTTTTACGGATTCATCGGTTTTGATTCGATTGCCATGACTGGTGAAAATCATATTTTATCACACCATAACTGATAAATTCATATAATTTGTTTTTTATTCATACCGATAGGTGAAGAAACAAAAAATCCCAAAAGAGACATACCGCTGGCGATCGTCGCTTCTCTGTTCCTGAGTACGATCGCTTATTGCGGCGTGGCCATCGTTTTGACACTCATGTGGCCTTACTTTTTGATGGTATGTTATTGAAATTTTTTTTTAGTAATAAAACAAAATAATGTAAAAAATTATCATTCATCAATTATGAACAGTGTAGGTACACGTACGTTTCTTAGCCACATTGTTTTATAATATTAATATCGACATACCGCTTATAGGATGCGGATGCTCCACTTCCGGTCCTCTATGAAAATTTAGATATGCCGATGATAAAAATTATAGTCTCAGGTGGTGCGATGTTTGCATTGTGCACGAGGTACGTCCATCTCCACGACGACGTATCACAGTGTTGTCGATTTCTCAGCTAATATTTTTTTATTATTAATTTGTACCTAATTTGTACCTCACTATACAGTCTTTTGGGTACACTATTTCCACTACCTCGTATCTTGTACGCGATGGCTAACGATGGTCTGCTTTTCAAGTTCTTATCGAATATCAACGCGACGACCATGACCCCTCTAATATCCACGATCATAAGTGGACTTTTCGCCGGTAATATACCGAGATTGTGAACACTCACCGTTATCGATTGACCTAATTATAGTCGTAATACTGATAAATACCTCTACTTGCTGTTATCAGGTACTTTGGCTGTTGTGTTCAATCTTGAGCAACTCATCGATATGGCGTCCATTGGTACACTCCAGGCTTACACGATTGTTTGCATTTGCGTGTTGATATTGCGGTTAGTCCGAGGAGTTTTCGATAGCCGGCAGCAGCTACACGCGGTTTTTTAATGGTGAAACATTATTAAATGTAATATGTTTCATTATTGTTTAATAGGTACACAAACAACAATCCGCCCATCCAAGACAATAATACAACGAAATCAAATGGTATCACGGTTTTCAMATGGTTAAATTTGTCGAACGCAAAAGTGCCGAACTCCGACACCCAATACGTTTCAAGGGCATTGATATTTATATTTAGTATGTATATACCTAATTTATTATATATTACTATATTATTATGATAAAATCCAATAAAAATAAGTGCACCTTGCCACCTTCCTTACACTAATTTTGTTTAACACCAAATCTAGATCATTATTAATTAATAATTAATACATTATCACAGCACTTTATTCCCTTCATTTTACTTTTGTTCTCAAACCTGATATGAAAATGAACCAGAAATCAACAGTGGTAAACCACCTCTTGCATTTCAATATTTAATTAATAAAATTATTTTTTAAGGCAGGAATTCGATTGAGAACGGTCATTATTAGCGATACCCATAGCCGGAAATTGGGGGGGGGGCTTGAGGGGTCTTAGCCCCCTCAAAACGTACAAATAGAAAAATTAGCCCCCTTAATTTTTGGTCATTGCACTACTTACATTTAYCAAATGGCGAACGCAGTATTAATTTAGAAGCTTTGACTTCAGTACTTTCCGAAACTATATACCCTAACATGTATAAGCTTATGCAAGTTGCACTTACTCTTCCTATAAGTTCGTCTACGTGTGAACGTAGTTTTTCT